GTTTCAATTTATGGCTACAATACTTTGAGACTCTACAAAACGGAGAGCAACCAACTATAAGCCCACTTCTATCTGTTAGTTGAATTCCCGAAGAAGGAGTTGTTAAGGTGATTGGGAGTGGTGAACTAGTAACCGGGGGCAGCAGGCGGAGGAATGGGGAAGGAAGAAGGAATTAAGGGCTTTTGGTTTGGAATTTCTGAAAAGAAAGACGATCAATAGATGTTGACTGGTTAAATTCAGGCAACAAAAAAATATTCCTATTTCTTTCACTTGACTGCGACCGCCGTGTACACCATTCTTTCCGGCGAGTTTGAGTGACAATCGGTTAGGGTTCAGGATTTTACTTTAAATTCGATCAAATTAACAGTTTGACGAGAAAAAAATAAAATAAAAGTGGTCGTCGATCATTATTAAGAACTTATTTCAATTTCTTTATTAGAAGTTTAGACTATAAAGAGTAAATTACACGAATGGTCCCTATGGTTTAGGGTAATTTGCGCGTTTGGTCCCTAACTTATTTTTTTAACTTAGAAGGTCCTTACTGTTTGTTTTTGTTACGCGGTTGGTCCCTATCTTACCTAAAAAGACTATTATCTCCTTGATTTTTTTAATTTATCTGAATAAACACACATCTAATCCCACTCTCTCACCTTACCTCACCTACCCCATCATTTTTTTCCTCTTTAAATAATAATATTTTTAGATAACACATGGACCAAACGCGTAACAAAAATAAACAGTAGGGACCAAACGCGTAACAAAAACAAATCATAGGGACCTTCCGAGTTAAAAAAATAAGTTAGAGACCAAGCATGCAAATTACCCCAAACCATAGGAACCATTCGTATAATTTACTCGACTATAAAAGGTAATTATTATTATTATTAATCAAGGACCATAAATTATTCATACTCAATTGAACATAAAATAATATACATATAGTCATAATTTATATATACCATATTTCTGTTTTAGCAACATAAATTAACATAAAATAATATACATATCTTACAAGATTTTACTTTAGGTTGATTAGGCTACAAAAATAGTTTATTGATGATTTAATGGTTTGTTTTAGGATGTTGTTAAGTACACTTTAGTCAAAGTATATTTCAGCCTAGTTATTATACGGTGGTGCCAAAAACAATTATAAAAGTTTTAAAAAATATGAAAAAACAAGTTGATTCTCAATGAAAAAGAACCAAATTTTAGAAAAGGATGTATTTTGAAAATAGAATAATGTGTAAATAAATAAATAAAAACCTTTGTTCTATAATTTTTTCAAATATAGTCAATGATATATTAAGAAAATGATAAATCAAAATAATCTTATTTACCGATTTTCAGGATTAAAGAAAAAAATTAATAGGTTTTTAAAAATAACCATGAATTCTCATTTTCATAGTTTTTAAGGAGATTACATATTTCATATGCAAAAATGCATGTGAAATATATATATATATATATATATATATATATATATATATATATATATATATATATTGCTGGGTAAACCCTTCAAAAACCATTTCCATATAAAAAAAATTATAACGTAGTTTTCAAGTTTCCTCAAAAAAATATAAATAATCATTTGGCGATCTTAGATATTCACCATATTTAAGCCTATGAAAATACTTAAATATGTAAATACCAACATTTCTAGCGGTAACCAGCAACCTCAGCAGACTTGAGAGACCTTATCGAACTCAACCCCTATCTATACAAGTTTGATTCAGATAAATTCATCATTAAGCCCAACACAAAGTAAAAGCAATTCAATGGCGTCGTAATATTCTCTATATTTTAAGTAATCCAATCTCACATCATTAAAACATGATGTGCATAAGGAAAATCTAAAGATTACACATTGCCATCTTTGAGCCCGTCATTTATAGCCATCAGAAGACCTCCATGGCAAGAATAGAAAGATAAGAAAGAGAGGATCTCCATAGTGAATACCCTTGTGAAGCTCAAACTTTTTTTTACAGACTCCCATTAAGAAGTACTAAGTCTTTAGCCGACAAAAAACACCCTCTAATCCAGCCTATAAAATGCATGATCTAAAATAAATAGTCGTAACTCAACGAGTCATATGACTAAAAAAAATACTCTTTAAAAGCAACATCATTTTCTTATGTTTGTTATATATGTCGATAATCTTATTCACCATAAGAAAGTCGTCTAAAATTTGCATACCTTTAACAAAAGTTTGACTATTAAATACTCACAATATTGTCAACCACCCTAGCAAGTCGGTTAGCCAAAAGTTTGGCTATAATTTGTATTGCATGTCAATTAAACTAATTGGCTGGTAACCAATTATCAGCATAAGGCTCGACGCCTTTGTGATCATAGTAATAAAAGAGGCATTGCACCCTCCCAAACCGAAATATTTCATAATGTCGTCTTCCATAAAATCTTAATATTTTTTCAAAAAAGTAAAAAAGAAAACCATTTGGGTTAGGCGATTTATCGTTGCCACAAATTTCAATCCGCAAACCTCATGAACTAAAAAGCAAGATTCCAGTGTACTCACTTAGACCGAGGACATGTGGCTTTGGTTTTGGAGTTTCACACCATCAAAAATTCTGAATTAGATAATTTAAAAAAAAAAAAAAAAAAAAAAAAAAACCCACATACAACACCTTCCTAACACTATATGGATCGATAATCCAAGGACTTTCTTGTTTAGTCCCTCCTATAGCAAGTTGTCTTTTTCTAGGGTTCCATGAAAAATACTTAGTCTTTTCATCTCCCTCATCCCCCAAAGAATCTTAATCTCATAGAAACATCATTAATCTCCATTTGATCAAAGTCACTTAGTTGAGTGAGTAAGAATAGAACATCATTTCATCATTATCTTTTTTAATGATACAAAGCTTTGCTTCCAACTCGTCTTTGACACATGTTTTTCCATTCTTTTCGGATTTTACTTCACTTTTAACACTTGTTTTAGATGTTTAAGTCTGTCTTTAAACATCAAGTGTTTGATAGTAGAAGCTGAACCCACTTTGTGACATCTTCATCATTTCATTAAAATTGTCACATTCTATCTAAGAGTTATACATCTTGAAAGGAATATGTCCATTGTCATCTACTAATTGTTTCAACATAACAGGGTGATGATCATACATCATTCTATTCAAAGCAGTTTCTAAAAGATCAAGAAGCAAGTCAACAAAATCGTCAGATATATATATATATATATATATTATATATATATATATATATATATATATATATATATATATATATATATATATATATATATATATATATATATATATATATATCCATTTTGCTCAATTTCTTCATGTTTGCACTTATTTGTGTGTATTTGTATATAATATTTTAAAAATAGGTTCGAAATGGTCAGGTTGAGAACCGGAATGAGAGTGGTTCAATAACGACCGGTTTATGGTTTATGTCAATTTCTAAATTGGACGAAACTAGACGTTTTCTTAAATCGAGTTGAACCAATATGATAGAACCGGTAAAAAAACCGTTTAAACAAGTTTATTGGACTTAGATAGTTGGATTTCACTCGTTCTTTAAAAACAACTCATTTTCAAAGCAAAATGAACAATCGATGATCGGGTTATCTGAAGTATACACAACTCGAGGGCCAACGACACACACCACTATCGGACACGACTTCGAGTTACACAAGATACTAGTCCTAGTCTGGCATTGATCTTCTCAACTTGGAAACATTTTGCTTCTCAATTGTTTGTCTATTGCTTTATGATATAGTTCATTATGAACCGACGGTTTAACCGGAAACTGATCACTAGACCGGTTTAGCAAAAAGATCGGTTGTATCCTCTCATAGGCACGTCAAAGAGACTGACATCATCAATAAAATCATTAAAATGAGAAAACTCTTCAATATTAATTTTAAAATCATGTATCTTACCATAAAAATTTCCTTAATACAGACCGGTTCAACTAAAAGATCGGTTGTATCCTCTCACATGCACGTCCAAGAGACCGACATCATCAATAAAATCATTAAAATGATAAAACTCTTCAATATTAATTTTAAAATTATGTATCTTACCTTAAAAATTGCCTTAATACATTTCTTTAAATAAAAGATTAAATGCTAAATCATACATTGTACTTAATTTACTTATGATAAACATTTTTCAATGAAAAGGCTCTAATGGTGGTTTTTTTGACAAAATTTATGAAAGATTATACTGAAGATAAGCAGTTAGTATCAAATCTTGATTTCGTATTGTATTAGAATCGGTACTGAATTTAATGAGACGGTATTCGGTACTCACAAAATTCAGGATTCAATACCATTGGTAACGGTGTTATCACCGAAACCGATACCGGTACCGATAATGTTAGTTCGATTCGTTATCGGGACAGTATCGGGTGCATTCCATGCTCATCCCCGGATTAGACATGTTTGAGGAAAGACCATATACCATCTCTATTTTTTATATTGTTTTATATGGTAATTGAAAAATGATTGATGATTTTGATTATTGTTATTTAGACTTGGATAGAGGAGTTGAAATAAATACCAAGTTGGAATCCTTGTGTTGAAAGATGGAATTTAGGAAGAAAAGCCTTTTGTGAAGATGTTTTTTTTAGTTTCGATGATGAAAAGGTTTTGTTTTGACATATTTAAGTCCCTAATCATGTGCTTATATCAATTATCAAAGGGCATGTGGTCTAATGGCATCAAACATGTTGGAAATGTGTCATTCAGCCAACTGGTTGAGGATTCCAATCCCATGATATACAAAAGTGTCTCAGAAGCATCTTTGGTTAAAGAAAAGAAACTTAGATAAACAGAAAAGGCAGAAAAGACAAAGAAGCAGCTTAAAAGATGAAGATGAAATCAAGCAGAAAACGAAGCTAGTGACATTTTATGAACGAGTGCATTAACAAAGAAAGAGATTACTACATACACAAAATTCAATATGTCCAGTCAGGAGGGGGATTGAAAATTAAACAAAGGTACATGTGATGAGATGAAACGCGGCAGTCGATGGGTCTTTAGAAAATGTTAATGCACATAATAATATATATGATGATGATGATGATGATGATGATGATGAAGATTCAAGATGCTATCTATGAACATGAACATCTTTGGGACAAGTGCAGTTTGATTCACGGGAAAATGTTTCCAGAAGAATACTGAAATGCTTCAAAGTTCAAATTATATCTTTCTCTCTGTGTATATATATCACCTGACTGATTTCATCCGGAATCCCCACCCCCTTTTGTATACTTCTTCTGTGTGCAATGGATCGATCGATTTGCAACTTTTCGGCTTTTTCATCATACACAGACACGGACACGGACACGGACACACTGACTGACTGACTCACTGACTGACTGACCGGCTCAAAACTCAAAAGCTTTGCAGCCTTCTCTGCTTCTGCCTGCTGCTTGCTTTGCTTTGCTTAAATTAAAGAATGTCTTCTCAAGTCTCAAGTCTCAAGTGAAACAGAGAGAGAGGAGAGGAGGGAGGCTGGTAGCTTAGCTTAAAAGTTAAAAAGGGGCTTCAAGGGATTCATCCCATACATCTGCACTACCATTAGACGCATCTTCAGCATCTTCCTCCATTGAAAGCCGTATATATTCCCGATGTGCAAACCGGTCCCACTCTGTCAGTGTCGGATTCTCACGTTCCTGTTGCGTTCATTTTTTATTATTATTTTTTTTAAACAATTTTAATATCATTGATGATTGATTGATTGATTGATACGTACCTGACGAATGAGGAAGGGGTCGCGACTTTCATACGCCATGAACTTGTTCAGATTAAACAAGATATTGAAAACACTGCCAGAAAGTTTGCTTCCTTTTAGGTCGCCAAGTGTAAAATACCCCTCATCCTGCAACTCACAATCGTTTTCGTTTTTTTTTTTTTAATAAGAATAATAAATGAATTGAAAGCATCAAATATAGTTACCAAGTAAGTAGCTAGCATACCTTTGGTCCAACCATATCAACTATCTGACATAAAATGTCCTCAAAAAGAACAGGCTCTTGAGCCATGCACTCCATGCGATGCAACTGTTCCTCATAGAAGAATTGCATCTCATTCCTTGTCACTGCCCCGTTTCCATCCAAGTCTATGCACTTGAACCTATCAAATCAAATCAAATCAAATCACCTTTTTTTATATCTCTTATGCCACTCACTCCTACAGAATTAACTTTTTTTTTAAATAAAAAATAAAATAAAATACCAGTACTCAAGACTTGGCTCAGACGACTTATCCTCTTCAGACAAAATGAAGTAAACAAAATCCTCATATCCCATTTTCCCTTCAACCTTACTCGTAAACTTTCTTGGAACCTGGTGGTTCATGGTTATGTTTTAAATTTTACAAAATAAAAAATATGACAAAATACAATACCTGGGAAAATATTCTGTCAACAATCCTGTAGGTCAATGCATGGTTGCCATATCTTATAAGGTTCTCTTTATCAATCAAAAAATCATGATCTGTGTCCAGCTCCCAGAATTTGCAATATATTACATAGAAATGCTCGTAAGAGAAATATCTGTGGAAACAAAAAATCAAATCACATTAATTTCACTTAAAAGCTTATTATGATAAAAAGTTGATTTGTAAAATCTATTCTATTTATTATACCTCAAAACTTTGTTTATGTCTTCTTCTTCATCTGCATGCAGCATTGCAGCAATTAGATTTCCACGTTTCAGCTCCCTCAGGGTCAGACGGCCATTACCCCCTCTATTCACATAGTAAAATATGCGGTATATTACTGTTTCAGCTGCTCAATGCAATAAAAATACATATATGTGTTAATCATCAATTCAATGCTATTATTATACTTTTTTTTTATAAAAATATGTACATAAGACAAAAAAAAAAAAAAACTATTCATTGCATTGCATAGCATCTAAATAACAACATACCATATCTCTCCTGAAACTCAGGTGTGTTTTGTAAGAACTCCAGACCTGGATGACTTGCTAAAAGCTCACGAAGTATGGGTTTGAAGTCCTCCTATTGCAAAACTCACAAAAATCACATTTGCATTTCCACTATCAAAATAAAATGAAATGAGGGAGCTTGAGTAAAGAGGAATACATGAGTTAGATATCTCAACTCAGGCTGCTTCAAAATTGTAAATATTTGGGTTGCTATATCTTTTGTCAACATGTTGCTATGGACCCAATACTCAACAAATGCATCCCTGCAGTGTAGCCATGTTTTAGTTTTAGACAAACTTAGGAATATAAAACTAAAATGTCACAATATCAATCATAACTCATAACCCATAACCTGCTTATCATTTTTTTTAATATGACCCTTATGCATTCATTATACAACCACTTCATATGATTTCCAGAAATTCAGATTAGCTACTCATAAAGGCATAGATAAGAATATACCTGGTCACACCAGTGCCATTAACATCAATCTTTTTGTAAAGAGCGGTAGAGAAAAAAGAAGGCAGCTTGCAAATTTCCTTGGTAATTGGCTTGAATTCTATTCATTCAATTCAAAATCAGCACAAATGAAGTACACATATACCCATTGAAAAGGTAAACTGATGATTCATGATATAATATGCATTATTACAATTAGGGAGATGCCTCACCATGCAATTGTAGCCCTTCCATATGACCATAGAAATATTGGTTGCATTGTAATAAACATCGTTCTTTTAGTTCATTTGGGGGTGGACGACCATTTTGAAAGTAAAACTGCAACCATTACCATGTACTTGAGTCAAAACTCAAAACTTGAGCATTAAAAGTTAAAACAAAACAGATCAAAACAAGAATTGATTTTTTGCTATCAAATTCAAACCTGAGGTATTAACTCTTTTGCTGGCTCACTCAATAATCTCAAAGGAGAACCTAAAACTGATGGGCCCGCCCTATGTTTTGTAACACGGGGAGAACCAGAACCAGATGAACTTCTTGGTGAGAGTGGAGGTGTGCTGCCAGCTGGAAACATGGAAGGTATTGAAGAGCTGGAAGTAGCCTTAGGGCTGTTGGTTGATCCAGGGACATTCAATGGAACACCCGCCTTTGCATTGTTAACTAAAGATTTTACCTATATATTCAGAGAGGAAAAATCATGAATGGTTTTCTTGTTTATCCAACAAACTATAAGTCTATAACTAATGAAAGTGATGATCATGAATTGTCTATATATGCTATTGATGTGGTAGTTACTTTTCCTATATCCTATTCGGTTGTTCTTCCATTTAAATGAATCATTCAACCCATGGACAATGCGCACAAGGTAAACATTCGATTCGATGCCAGATGCCAACCCTAATTTGGGCTAGGTAAGTTATAACTGATGAAGAACATCAGATTCAATATTTATTAACTACCACTTTGCCATCTTAATCTAGCTACATCTGACAGAAACCAATCTAACCGTCAGCAACTGATGATAAAGAAGTATTATGATAAGGTATAATACGACGATTTGCTTGCACAAAAGAAATATTATGATTACAGTACTTACTAAAGGAGTGGTTTCAGGAAGAGAGAGCCATTGCTCGAATAGTTTTTCAGCAACATAAGGATTTGATTTAATAGCCAGAGGAGACACTTCATTCAGCTGTAACAATTCAGGGTCAAGACAACCCGCTTCACCATTATTATCCATATCCATCTTTCCTCGATCAAATCCTTTATCAGCACCTGAATTCAAACTCTATCATCCAGATCTCAAATTGAAAACCCACGACGATCAACTTAACCCTAGTAAACCAAAAAAGGAAACGGAACTTTTTCACATATATTGTAATCGTACGGGCTTGACTATTCTCTCGCTTAAGAGTCGATCAATCGCATTGAATCATACTTGCGAACTGGGAATGATAAGATTTTGGGAGTTTACGGAGCTAGATGAAACAGATCCCAACCTGAAATTGGGGTTTTTCATAATAATGTTCGCGGAGATCGATGTGGAAAGTGGATGGTATGATGAATTTGGGGGAGTAAGATTCGAGATTCTTGCATGAGTGATGTTTGGGGAAATAAAGAGAGATTGCACCTGAAGCGGAGAAGAAGATGAAAGAAGGAAACGCGTCGTTGGAAGGCCTAACCAAAGCAGGCGACCAAATGGACAAATGCACGATAGTAATAGAGACGAAAAAAAATTGGGTTTATTTCTCTTTTTTTTTTTTAAAACGTCTTTGCTTATTAGTATGTTTTAGACGCACAATAAGATATAACTATTCTAATTGTCAAACCTATTTCAGCCAAAACCAACAATATTAATAAACCCCAAAACCTAATAATTTTACTAATCACGCATATCTAAAACATAATAAATCATAAAATTTAAACAAATATTTTAAAATCAAATTCAAAATAAATAGAAGAAAAACTCATCTCGTTTTAATATTGAGTTCTTAGTACTCTACAACTCAACCTAACTAAAAACCGTAACCCAATAGAAAGTTAAGCCCACTTAAGTTTAGCCGAAACATAAATCTTTAGTCTATTAAGAATACCAACCCCTCTCTCCCTTACATCTGCAATAAACCCTATTTCTTTTTCTCATGTTATTCTATTTTTCAGTCAAGAAACACAACGAATTTCTTTCTCTCTTCTTCCCTTTTTTTTTCTTTTCTTGATTCACGGTGGTGGTCTGATTTTTCTATGAAGATGTTGATGGTTTATGATTTTCAATTGTTTAATAGGTGGCCATATGTGGTGATTAGCGGTAGAATTGATACGGTGTCAAGTTTTTTTCTCTAAACCGTTTATCGTACTAATTATAGTTGGCAGAAGAATTTAATTACTTGTATCGTAACAAATATGTTTGGTACCAACTTATTTGGCAACCAAAAAAATTGGTTGATACATATTGGTATTGATATATACCAAAACTTGTGATTATCGATTGAGAACTTGCAATTGCCAATTGGGGAAGAATCGGGGGAATGGTAATTTTGGTGTGAGAAGTGGGAACAAGAGGGCGAGAAGTAAAATCGTGAAAATTCAAAATCGGTAGCCTAACCTAAAAGGCTAAAAGTGAACATTAGTAGTTGAAGTTGTGGTCACTTGTGTTACTAAATACCATGGTTGTAAATGGTAGCCTAGACGCTAGGCGAGCAACAACTACCTACAATTTTTATCAGTCAGTCAAATTAGACAGAGTCGGTTAACTAAGGTCTAGACGGGCCTAGGTGGCCGAAATTTCCAATTTTTTAAATTTTAAAATTTCTCAGATTTAAAATTTTTAGATTTTTTAAATTTCAAATATTACACCAAAGTTTTCAAATTTTCAAGTTTCAAACTTTCAAATTTTCAAATATTTATTTATTAATACTAGTAAGGTACCCGCACGATGCAGCGACGCCAGATAGTTCATTTCGGTAGATAGTTTTCATACGGTGATTAGTTTCCTTTTCATTTCAGATAGTTCGTTTTAGCCTTTTGACGAATTGTTTAAGTTTGGATAGCTCCTTTCAGCAAATAGTTTTCAGCTAAGCAGGGGCGATTCCACTATAGTGCCAATAGGGCACCTGCAACTCCTTATTTTTTTCGAACGCAGTGTAAAAAAGTTTCGAATTTTTCATTTTTTATACTATTGTGCCGCTACGTAAAAAAATATCTCCACCAACACCTATGTGTCACTGGCAACACCTACTACGAAATTCGGCATTCGCTCCTACAGCTAAGTACGTAGGTGTGGTGTAGGAATAGTTCTTTATTTATTGTTCTGGTTTCTGTTTCACAATACGTCGGCGACCAACGGTTAATTCGGTAATTACTATCTGATGGTGATTAGTTTTGTTATCGACAATATGTGTTTGGGTTCGACCAATTATTAACATAGACAAATTTGGTTCACGTAGGTTTGACCCAATGTAATTTATTGTTTGAACCAAATACCTAAATATCAAAACGACCATGACTTGAGTGAAAAAAATTCAGATAATTGATAAATGAACAAAACATTTCATGATAAAATATAAAGTAGATACAATCTTTGCCGCCTTGCTTTCCCTTTGCATTGTTAACATGTCTCAAACAAAATAAGAGGTAAAAGTGAGGTAAATTTCAAAATATTGCAAACAAAAATGATGGACTTTATGCTTAATTAAAAATTATCAATACCTTATCATGACCAACCATGAAGTCGTCAATAGCTGCAGCAAAATAGTGAAAATCTTATTAGATTCACCATACCATTTGTTTAGAAAATACACAAACAATGGTATTAATGATATTCAAATGTTTTGCGTTCAATGGTATACATTTGAGTATATAATAGAATGAATGCGTTTCAAAGTCAGGAATTTCAGAGTCAAGCACCGAGGACCATCTTTGACAATAAAAACATAAGAAATAAAAATTAGTATATCGGTTATAAACATATAAATGTATATTATGATGAAAATAAAGAGCATTGATAACCACAAGCAACAATGCTAATATCATCTTAGTGTATATGATTCAAACAGATCCCACAAGGCAGCTTCAAAAGATACAAACATAAGCATTTAAAATTTCACTCAAATAGTAACATATTAACCATTTTACCATAACTTACCTCTCCAACTTATGGTGGCTTAATAATGGTATTATCCAACATTCTAACATCTTTATGAGCTTTGTCTTCATTTGAAACCATGATTTGTGAATATTGCATTGAATCTTGAAGTTTGAAGATGAGAAGTTCATTATCAGCACTTATAATATAAAACATTGTTAAAATGATGGATTGAAAATTGTGGGTTACCTATAAGGAGGGTAGCCTTTAATACTCTTGTCTACCATGTAAGATGCATAGATAAAAGAGAATTAGCTTTCTTCTATAAACATCTTTCTGCAACAAATTAACTAATATCATAACCAAAATATCTAATAATAAGAAACTAAAACAACATATGCAGAATTCACCCTAGAACTCCTAACATAGCTATTAAAAGCAATGATAAGTTTCAAAGCACCCAACTTCACCTCAAACTCAAACCTCCAACTTAACTAAAATAAATGAAATACAACTACAAAATAAATTTTAAAAAACCAACCTTCACCCTATAAACCCAAACTTCCATCTTGTCCAAAAAAAGAGAAATTGAAATACAGAGGCTTGAACACGATAACATTCTCCTTAAATCAAAAGTCAGATCGGAATCTTTGGTGGTGCCTAAAATAGGGATTAAATTATTTCTTTCATTTGAAGAAAAAAAAATTTAATTTAAATACCAACCATCTTTCTTCTTTATCTTTGTTATTGTATAATCAGAAGTGAGCATGGCCTCTTCAACCTTCTTCCTAAATCCATTCTCCCTTAAACAAGTGAGTATTAAAAGAACAAAATAACCTTTTAAAAATACGCAATAAATCGGGGATGAACAATAAATACTTTCGATCCAGAACTTTATGCGAACCAAAAAAAGAGAGTTTGATTTTGACTTTTATTTTCCTTGGAAATGATAGGGTTTTTTTAGAGAAAGGTGATGACTGTAGACTCACATCTAAGAAACAAACATGATGTGTCATCTGTTAAACATCTCAGACCAGCGACTAACATCATTCATGTGTTACATTGACTTTTGCTTGGGTTGGTTTTAGCATGCTCTTATCCCTCCATTCATGATCATACAAATTAAACAAAAAATTTACAAATAAATTAGCCATTATTACTAATTTTAAGTTGACTCGTAACAAATATAACAATAATGAAGGAAGATTATCATATATCAGATCCAACCCTACATGAACAACTGATAACATAAAAAGCAAAATCACCAATGTTGCATACAGATTTGAAATGGAGATTTCAAAGATTCGGATTCAGAAGTAGAAAAAGGGTCATCGTTCTTCATGTTCGTGATAGATAGGCAGATCGGCTCTGAGATCTTTTGACTTATGACCATTTTATCCACTTTATCTGAAAACTTCACCATACTTGACCAAACATTATTTAAGGCAATATGTTGAACAACTTGGGTGCATGATCTGTAATCTGACAAAAAAAAATAAAAAATCCAAGGCTCTTAAACCCATTAAATAACTAAAAAGCATACATTGATCCATAGATTCATCACTTAAGTTTTATACTTAGGTTGTCAGCAAGAGATAGAAAAGAACAGTGAGTGGTAACATACAAAGTGGAGCATCATGGGTAGTTCCTTCTATTTCCTCTCCCAAATGGCCTACAAATTTATGAAAACTAGTCATAAGTTTTGGTCTCTAGAATCAAACAACAATCCATTCTTGTTAGTTATCAATCCATTGATACCTGCAACACCTACAAACTCACAAATATAAACCACATTGACCCAAACCAAAAAAAGAACTCACAGAAAATTCAAACAACAGAGAGATAGTAAAGAAGAAGAATGCAAAAAAGATTGTCGGAAAGTGTAATTTGAAAGACCTTTTTAAATTTTAGTCTAGGAGTAGGAAATCAATAACAGATATGTCAAATCTGGATCAAAAGTTTCTTCTTACCTCCATCAAAGATCCGCAACAATGAAATATATAATGTATATAAATATGATAACTTGAACCACAATCGACTATCTTTCCATATCGGTCTTTTGTGTTTAGGTTTCTCAACTTGATGATTACTTCAGAAGGAATACTTATGGAATAACAATAGGTATGAAAGGCTTTAAGGGCGTTAACCAAAACAAAACCCTAAATTGCATTTAAGGAATGAGAATGATTTATGGAATAAATCTAATCAAGGAAGGAATACGATATTTCATAATTGAATTTCACGTTATTTTCATAATCATATCATGTGATTGAGTTAGAAAGACGTAGAGATAAGGGATAAGGCTAGCCACATAAAATAGTTGTACATGGTGTTTTAAAAATTATACCTCTTAAAATTCAATAAATGTTGAATATGTTTTATAAGATAGTTAATATATATATATATATATATATATATATATATATATATATATATATATATATATATATATTAAAGTTATGAAAGTTAGTAACAATAAACTTCCTAAGTTTTTGGCAAGATTGGTCCCTAAAGTTATGTATGTTTGCTTCTCTTTTTTTGTCAATTTCTTTTGTCATTTTTGGTCCTCCAACTTATGTTGGTTTTAAAAAAGTACTTAAACCTTCACCTTTATGCTTTGTTCACAAACAACCCTTTCACTTTTGTTTGAGTTTTTCATAACCCTCGCAT